AGAGAGAGATTTTGAACAAAAAAAAAAAAAAAAAATTTTTTTTTTTCCCCCCCTTTTTTTTTTTTTTTTTTTTTTTAAACCCACAAAAACCACCCCTAGAACGCACCCGGTTTTCCCTTTTTTTTTTCCCTTTCCCCCCTCCCCCTCCCCCTAAAAACACCCCCTTTTCCGCTTTTCTTAAAAGGTTTTTTTTTTTTTGGATCACTTTAGAAGTGTTTATTTTCTACTCCCTAGAAGTCCTCTTTGTTTTAAAAAGAAAGATAGAGTGGGTCGAGGGCTTCCGTTTAACTGAACAATCTTGGGTTTTGGAGCACTTTGGTTTTTCGTCATCTTCTCCATTCGAGTTCTTCGCTTCGAGGTAGGGATTTCCTACTCCATATTAAATAGGTTTTTTCTAAGTTTTGGTATTTTGATATGTTGGGGGTGTTTGGTATTTTTTGGAAAAACCCTAGTGAACGTAATAAATTAATTTGTATAATTAATATAGGGAAGATTGGGGAATTTGGTTTATTTCTTGAAATTGGACATTTTGAGTTTAAATGGTGTAATTTGATAGTTTAATCACTCACCTAAAGAGAATATTTGCGTTTATGCTTACTAATACATTTATTTCCCGTTTAGAAATAATTGTTTTGGGCTATCGGTGGAGGATAGTCGTGATTGCTGTAGACATGGCATGTGGATTAGGGAAACTGAAACTAATCACATTGGTTAAGTCTTTGATTTAGACTGAGAATTAATATAGAAATTTCATGTATTGATTGTGTATAATATTATATGGTAAGTGTTTATACATTGTATTGTGTGGGAGGAGATAGGGAGATGTACTCCACGGTTTTAGGGGAAGATAGGGGTGTGACCTCTAACCGGCATTGTTTCTTTGGAGGATAAAAAAAGAAGTTGAATCCGCTCGAGCGTCAACCCTCCTCGCTCGAGCGTCACACAACATCCCGCTCGAGCGTCAAGACTCCCGCTCGAGCGCACAACACTGCAGAGGAGATACTGGAAGATGGAAAACTACGCTCGAGCGTCGAAAACCCCGCTCGAGCGTGAAGGCCAAAATCTGGGCAACTACTCTTGGTTTCTAAGTCCAACCAACCTGTAACAAACTCGCCCAACACAACCCAAGACTCGAATACAAGGAGTAAAGGATGTAAACAAGCTATACACGACAACCAACTCCACGGAACCTAAGTCCGGATACAACAATTAAAGAAAAGGGAAACTGGGATCGCTATAAATGTTGTAATTGGTATTTTTAATCATATGTATAGATCTAATTTAATTTATAATTTATTAGAATTCATAAAACTATAATTTATTAGAGATTCAGAAAAATGAATGTTCAAGTTTTCAACCTAACTACTACGGCCTGCATTGTCAACCAAATGGCAAAGGAGTGAATTTATTTAAACAATTTAAAGTAATGATAGGGATCATAAAAAAATATCATAAAAATGGTTATGAAAGATTCTTTGTCATTACATCACATATATAATAAAATATCTCACATTAATCAAAGAACGAAAAATTGTATCTTTAACTGAGCAAGAAGCCTACAACAATGCCATCTCAAAGCACTTAGTAAAGTAAAACAAAAACGAATGATAGAGGATGTAGCAAAAAAATTGTATCTTTAACTAAGCAAACTCATATTTGTTTGTACAACAACTATCCCAGAGAAGTAGACAAGATGAAGGTACAAAAATTATTAAGTATAATTTGACAAATTGGAAAAGTCAACACCCCTTGGCTACATTACAAATCTGAAAAATCTGGATAGATTTCACAACGTTTTTGAAAAACGTCATAAAAAAAAAACGTCGTTGTATCCTCTTTTTCTTGTAGTGTCTTTTATCCTATAAATAGTGGTTGGCACTATCTTAATAAAATGACCAACAAAGGCAGTATGAAGTTGGTAATGATGTATTGATAATGCCTCCATCCATTCCAAACATCAATAAGATCTGCAAAACTCATGCTAGTTTAAGTATTTCAAAACATACATACCATCATAGGTCTCACTAACAAAATGTAATTTCCAGCTCATGTTAGCCTCTACTTCCATTTCAATTCACCTCTAGACAATCGGGAGTCATCATTCTTGTCAATTCTTCCCTGGCTAAGAGTTGCTGCATTGGACTTTTCAACAATGTTAGGCAAAGCCACCTATTCACACATATACAATAACTTGTTAATGTCACAGGTGTAATGTAAATTGAGCTATAATTATAAAAAGTCATGTGTTGTAAATATTTACCTCAACATTTAAATATCCTCCCAAAGCTTTAATTTGATTCAAACCCTGCTTAATTTCTGAATTGCCCCAATAGGATAAGCGAGGAATGGAGTTGGAAGTAGCCACCAACTCCCTTTTGCGAGCAAATTGTTCCAAGTAAAATAACTACATGGGAAAAAAAATCAAAAAAAGAAGTCATTTTAATGTGTGTTAGACAATATACAATAAAAAATAATAGATGAAATAATTACACATCAAGGGGAAGTACCATTAGAAGAAGCAAACAGCCGCACATAGCAGACCGCTCTTTGACCTTGGCAATAGCAATGCGATCGACAAGAAAATCAAGTGTGTGCTTTGCCCAATTGAATTGACTGATGGACTCAACATTTTTAACCATTTGAATGAATGATTGGTGTACTCCTGCCTTTGTGGTGGGGCACAAGAGGGCTCCAATGATGTATAAGACAAATTTCCTTTTAAATTCAGTTCCAGCATCTTTTGTTTCAAGCAGATAAGATTTCAGAGATGTGAACGGAACAAATTTATTCTTCACCGAAAGTTCATCACATAGGTTTGTAATTTCATCTACGGACTCTGTTAACTTCACAGGTAGACCATTGGAAGGTAATCCCATCAACTCATGAACATCTTCTATGGTGAGAAGCATTCGAAGACCATGGACATTCAATGAATGAGTTGAAGGATCAAAGTTCTGAACTAACCAATGGCACAAGTCATGATCTATGTGCATGCACCTAAGGCTTAGGATGCCATGAAACCCCATATCAGTCACTGCTTGTTATTGTGCTTTGTCCAACCTTCTAATAATCTTACAAATTGATGTAAGCTCAATCCGGGTTTGAATTTTTACTTTTGGAGGCTTTTGTTGGACCACAGTTTTTAATTGGGCATTTTGTTTAGATTGCAGCTTTCCCATTTGTATATACTTATTTTTTTCTTCTTCAGGAAGTTGATTCCATTTGTCCCCAATATCCTACATTGCATGCATAAAATCATATGAACAATTACATACAAGCTTACAAGTACAAAAGGAATACTACAAACAACAAGAATACGTTGCACTTACCTTCACGTCTACTTTCATTTGGGTTTTTTTTAACTCCATTGATTGTTCTTGGCTATAAACATATGAAAATGAATATAAGAATTCGTATAATGGAAAATATATAACTACATACAAATAGATATTAACGAAATACCAAAAGAAAATGAATGGAGTGATCAGGCGCTTTGGAGGATCAGTCGGTTTATCCATTAGGCTTCAATCAGAATTCCTTGTAAAGAAAGACAAGAAAAATAAACTCATAATATCTTTGATTAGGAAAAAAAACAAACAAACAAAAATCTTAAAGGTTATAGTACATTCATCAAATGCACGACATGCACACATGAATGGATTTGTTTTATAATAATGTAGTTAACAAAGACTATGTTTCCAATGTAAAAAGGAAAGACACTAAAAAAAATTCTAATCATAAACAAAAAATGATACCCCAGTAGCTTAGGTCACATTACCATAAAAAATAGATTAAAGAAGTTAATTTTTTTGGACAAAATTTGTAATTTGGTAAGGAAATTTTTTTGTCGCAAAAAGGAGCCAAATATTTTGGCACCATACGAATTGATAATAAAAACGACATTGTTTTTTATTTTATTTTTGGGACTATTGTAGAAAAAAAAATAAAAAACGATGTCATGGTTATGTATAGCTCCTTTGCTCCTTCAAGTCTCACTTTAGGTATACAGTCAGAAGGTTGAATATCTTTATTAACTGGTTTTACTTGCTTTGGTTTTAGCCATGTTGTGGTTCACTTTCCCATATTTTATCTTGCTAACTTTTTTTTTTATTCTCTGCATGGGTTTGGGGATGGCTGAACCACATAAAGCACTTGAAAACTATAAATGTTTAGGAAAGCAATTTGTTGGGATTCTGATATTGTGCAGTTTGTTTGGATGGGTCTCCCCCGGCTTACCATCTTGATAAGGGGTTTGGAGCAGGAATTAACAATTGGTTGGTTCATTTTGAGGTTGGTCCTTCATTTACCATTTTGTTTTACAATACAAAAAATGATTTGTTTGTTGTTAAGAAGATGATTGAAAAGAAAAATAAGAATTGTGAAATCATATAAGATACCCAATTTTCTTTTTAGTCTTAGTTTTTTTTTTTAATACAAAAACTGTGATGAATGAGGGTGTGACTGTACAAGTTATATCATAAATATTTTTCTTTTTAATTTGGCCATCACGCATACCATATAATTTAAATATATTGAAGCATAGAGGACCTTGTAGGAAAAAATATGTACCTGTCGAAGAAGTAGTTCAACAACAACACAACCAGCAAACCAGAAGTCAATAGCTGTAGTGTACTCCGTCGATCGAAATATAAGCACAGATGTAAGAGGTATTGGGCTCTCCTTTTACTTGCCAAAAATAAGGAATGAAGCATTTCAACCAAAACACAAAACTAAGGGAGAGGGGAAAAAATTAAAAGACATAAACCAACATGTCAAAACTTTAAAAATTCCAAAATGAAGTTGTTATTTGTAAAAGAGTTAATGAGGTGGTGGGAAAATAGCATATATGAAAGGGCATCATTAGTGATGGAAAAATGTAAAATAATTACAATTACACATGAGGGTTTATAGAACTCTAATAAGTATATAGCATATTAATTAGGATACATGTTAGAGTGTAAATCCTTTGGAAATTAGGCCAAATGTTATAATTTACATATGGTACACATCTCAAAAGAGGTGTAGTAGCATGACCATACATACCACACATAAACCCATATAAACTTTAGTTTGGAATGAATCAATAAATCAAAGACCCCAAAAACAGAAGAACAATAATTTTTTAAAGGCATTTTTCTGTTTCATTTATCTTCATGCTCTTGTAGAAAAAGCAATAAACAACAAAGAAGGGAGGGGGGGGAAGAAAAGAAAAAGAAAAATAAGAAGTAAATTAATAATTTAGTGTTTTTGAAGTTTGAGGGTTTTGAATGAAAATAGGTTTTTCTCGAATCAAGTAATTTTGATATTTTTTTTATTATTTAATGGAAAATCAAGATGTGTGTATTTGCTAGTTCGATATGCGGTCAGATGTGTTATTTGACATGAATGTTGGAGGTAATCCTATCATCACTCTATTTCAATCTAGATGATTTTTTATTTTTTTATATTTTCTTTATTAATTTGCTTGTGTTTATCATTGCTTGTGTTTATCATTGTTACTTACCTTCTATTGAAGCAAAAAAAAAAATAAAAATAAAAAGAAAGAAAGAAAAAGAAAAAGAAAAAGAAGCTAAGGATGGTTGCTAATCCTGCTAGGAAGAGTGGGAGTAACTAAGTTGGAAGTGGGAGGGGTTTATTGAAGGTCATTATCTTTTGTTGTGCTTTTTGTTGCTCTTTCGTCCCTTATGGTCACCTTAGAGGATTCAGCTATCTCTCTCTCTCTCTCTCTCTCTCTCTCTACTTGGGTGATAAAAAATAAATAAATTAGACCATGTAATGCCAAAGGGATGGCAATGAGGGGAAGTAATGAAGGCGGTGGTGGTGGAGGTGGCAATGATGGGTTGACTAGGGATTTCTTACGTCTTAGAACAATCTCTTATAGGGGTTTTCCAAACATGGCTGGGCTTGATCATATGATAGTAGTTATGACTAATATGGTATGGGTTATAATATAAAATCATATAAGTTCATAACTAAATGCATGGTACATCTAATTGTACCATAGCATCACCCGTGATGAGAAACCTCCATTTAATGATTGTTATTGATAAAAAATTGCAACGTCTAGTGAAATTGAAAGTTTAACCCCTGAAAAAACAGTAATCACTATTATCCACCTGTAATTCATTAATTGCAGTGTCTAGAAAGAGGAGCGCGTAAACCACATCTAAATGTACCATAGCATCACCCATGTTGACTTACTTGACAAATGCATACACCTTCTTTATAGCTACAGTCTATTTAGTCTCAAGAAGAAGACCTTTGTTAACAACACTAAAGGCACCAGATCCAATAACCTCACCCATTTCATACTGCCAATTCACCAGCTAGATTTATTGACAACACAAAATAAATTGATGATGATGATATTGAACTACATAAGCATAACACAGTTACACACATCCTATACCTTTTCCATTTGGTTGGATCAAAGCCACCGGAGGATAATCCAAAGATGCTGTGATCTAGAAATTTTCAATTTGACCAGAATTTTAATATTATTATGCTTATTTTTTACTAGTGAAAAAGATCATTAAAAATGTTAACTCAATCAAACTTTAATTACACATGAAAAAATCAACAAGACAAAAAAAAAATTGCAAACAAGTCGCTCATATGCAAAGAACAGAAACAGGGGAAAATCCTCTAATTATATGATAGATTGATCCCATGATGCACAAAGCTTCGCCTCCCGAGAATGGGAGATAGTAACATGATATTCAGAAAACATAAGCCAAACCCAGAAATTATGCTTATCAAAAGAAGAAGATAAGTTATTGATTGATAATCTCAGACTAACATAACATCTTAAATAACATGCGTATGTAAATATAGAAATTTGTATATCTATTGACATTCATCTATCAAGAACTGAATATATATATATATATATAAAATTAATGAAAGTGAAAACACTCAGGAACAAGAAATCAAGAATTCTGCAGAAAACTACAAGAAGTAGAGTCATGAATATTCAAAGGGAAAAAATTCAGTAAATGTATGATAGATTGATTCCAGAATTTACAGAGCTTGTAAAATTCCCAAACCCATAAATTATTCAGTGATAATCTCATACTAACAATGTATATGTAGAGAATTGTATATATATATTAATTGAAATTCACCCATCAAGAACTTTCAAAAATAAGAAAATAGAGAAATATTCAAGAACAAGAAATCAAGAATTCTGCAGCAAACATCAGAAATCAAGAACAGAGATGCTAAGAAAATTATTCAATAATTGAATTCGGTAATACAGAGGTGCCAAGAAACATATGTATCGAAATGTGCATATACCTCCATCAAGGATTTATGATAAAACATCACGAAATTGAATACAATAGTTTCAGTTTTGAAGAAATGGTGAAACCCAACTGTTATAGACATAGAGAGAGAGAGAGAGAGACAGAGAGAGAGAGACAGAGAGAGAGGAGCTTACTTGACTTGATTAAATTGCTTCTCTAGCTCTGTTCGTACTTGAGTTTTAAAGTATGTATTATATTTAAAATAATGCTGCCAATGTAAAATTTCAACTAGTAAACAATAGATAAGGGTCCAACTGGATGGCCTAACCAAAGGTGCGAATGAAAGTTGCTGGTACCATAAGTGAAGTAAGCAGCCCTTTCGGGCAGAAAGTGATCATAGCATGGTCCAAACAAGATGAAAGTAATAGTTTTCTGACAGAATGGTGTACTTGAGGAGGTAAGGAGCAAAGGAATCTGAATCCTATGTCCCACTCCCTCTCTGTTACATTGTTTAGATTTATCTCAAATCTACTCTCTAAGTCACCCAAACTTGGTTAACATACTTGAGAGGCTCCTCTGCTCATTATCAATTAATTTTGAGTTGAGTGCATTAACATACAATATCAGAATTTCGAATCCAAAATGTCTTTGAAATAATAATAGTAATCAGTTAAAGTTAAAGCAAAGCCACATTGTTTTAGGGTAGGTAGTTATACAAATTTGTCATTTTTATTTTCATTTTAAATTTAAACCATTGAATTCGGTAGTTATGCGATATTTTTTCCATTTTTATTTTAAATCATGGAATTATATACTTTGTTGAGATGTATAAAGTGCAGAGAAGGCAGAGCAGAGAATCCAAACATCATAATAAAGCAACATCAAGGCACAAATTACTTCCTGAGAAGCACCCCCTGCTATAACACCAAAACTAAATTATTATGTCAGAGTTGTTACTCTACGTTTCTTGCTGTGAATCAAATGGAGGGGAAAAATATAATCAGACTTCTGTTTGGTTACCAGGAAAAAAAAAATGATTGATTTTGGATCTCTCATTTATGACAACCAAATGAAGCAATAACATAATGGACAAGGCTATGATTGAATCAATTGCAAAAACACTACCCTAATCATACTTATCATCTCATAAACATTCCCATCTTGCCTTCATATTGAATCTCACCTTTCATCATCACTTCTCAAAGCAGCTTCATGTAAACAAATTTTTGGGAGTAATCTACCATACCCATATCATTTCTAAACAAAATTCCCTAATACGAGTTATATTAAACTTATTTTTAAAATTCATATTAATTTTGAAGTATTTTCAATTATCTTATTGTAAAAAAATTTGAAATAGTGTTTTTGTTCTTAATTACTCCTAAAACTCTATTCGAACAGGCTATCATCTCAGGTGGTTCAGCTGGTGGTTTAACATCCATATCAGATATTCAATAAGGGTTAGGGTTTTCAAATCAAAAGCCCTAATGTAAATGAAGTTTAGAGTTAGAAACAAACCTGAGCTACAGAAAATATCTCTTGGAAATATTCGATTAGAATGGAAGAAACCCTAGTTCTTCACGTCAAGACAGTGAGAGGTTATGAAGAAAGATGTCTACACCGAGAGAATGGTGGCCCCGACGCCGATGGGGCTGGCGGTCTTCGGCAATGGCTGAAGCTTCGGCTATGGTGGAAGAGAGGAGAGAGGAGAAGAGATGAGAAGAGCAAGAGCACGAGCCAGAGCGAACTGGGTGATGCTATGGACTACTCTGACTGTTGGACTACTCTGATCTTTTGCTCTGTTTGGTTA